GTAGTTTGTTATTACTGTATAATATTCTAAGGTTTTAAACCTAATTGGCAACGGTTAGCCACTTAAGTCATTGCACTGAAGGAGCAAAACAGTGTAAAACTTTGTCAATACAGATTTTCTGTTTTATTCATCATACCCCGTTCTATTTAAACAAATAGAAATAAGAACCGATATTTGAATGTCTATACACAATATACAAATACATACTTTACATATCAAATTATATCTTGATGAATAGTAGCTCTTTTTCCATTTTTAAAAAAGAAAAAAAATAAGGACAAACCAGCATGATGTGTTCTATTTAGATGAACAAAATGTGCTACAACATAATGAGAAATCTGTGATGACTAATCCCACCTAGATTTGAAACATAAAAGACATTTCAGTGTGGCAAACTACATGTAGCTTCTATTCTATCCATTACAGAATGAAGTAATAAATAAGCACAAAGACTTACAAGAAAACTGAATTTTAAGTTGCAGTTCTATAAATTTTTATTTGTACTGATACATTTATATCACTGTATTCAAGTATTTCGATTTTTTAAACTGCATTCCTGATATTAGAAAACAATTCTTCTAAAATACAGTGACATTACATTATATAACTTTTACTACTTTGTTTTGTAAAATAACGAGTAGTCAATTTATTTCTATGCTTTATTTTTGGTTATTTTTGCCATATTAGTTTGAATTTTCTAGAACAGTTATTTATTCTTGAATATTTTAAAGTACAGTAGGAAAAAATCACCGGAACAACACAAATTAAGAAATATATATGTATATAGCCCCTGCCAGTATATTACACATACTGTATCAATATCTTAAACTAGCAGACAATTAAATGGCTGCTACAATAAATAAAAGATTCAACTGTAATATCCTGAAAACCATTAGAAATCCAAAGCAATAATCTTTTCCACAATAAATGGATTAACTATATTCCAATCTAAGCTGCCAATCAAAGTAAGAAATTGTACATAGTACACAAAACAGAGGACAAATATACTGACAAGATTATTGGAATTTCAATTATTTAGAATGTTTAGGTCAAAAATATTGTAAAAGGACCCATGTGGGTGTATTTACAAGATTTCCTAGAAATTTCTTCAGCTCCAGGAGATTTTGTTTTTGTTTCTAAAGTGTCTGTATCTTAATCAAAAGACTGAGTAGACTTTTATAATTTGCAACTAGGCTCTTGCAGTAATCCAACAATTTTGCAACAGTAAATACAAAGGTTTTATTAATATTATAAATATTAATGTCAGAAATATTTTTCAGCCAATATTGTGAAGAGTTGCAAAACTTGATTCCATTGCAGATAATCGTTGTTCTAATGCTTTCAGTATTGTTTCTGCCTGTTAAATAAAGTTTGAAAAAATCAACTTAATATACCACTTTTCTCCTACTTCATGAGTACAATCAGAGAACTCATAGTGGATACTACCTTTCATATCTTATAACTGAGGTAAATAAGGATTTGGAACTGCATGATACATTGGTCTCAAACCAACATTATGCAAAGAGCAGCTGCATGAACAGGTAATAGTAGTGCTAATATGTTTAATCAGAAAAAAGTAATGTTTTCATACAGAAGCATACAGCAAAGAATTAAAAAATGTACTTTTTCTACCCAAATTTTCCTTTAGCTGCTATTGACAGAATTTTACCAGTGTATAAATAAAAGATTTGAAGAGTTCATCATAATATATTTAAGTAAATAAGTACAGAAGGCAAAATATATAGAATTATCTTACCCTTCCTAATGATTCTTCTAAATTAGCTCGACTTTCAAGTGTGAGAGGTTCCTCATCAATGTTAGCTTTTTGTTCTGATGACCCTAGGGTATAACTTAAGACATTTATACAGTTATAAGTAACAAAACAATCATTTAAGGGAGTAGTCATGATTGTAGTACTTACTGCAATAGAGTCCATCAATGGAAAAGTGAAAGAGAACAATTCTCATTTTTCTGTAGTAGTAATAATTAATACTAATAATACTAATGAATCTATTTATGAATTCAAAATATAGTAAGTAAATGATCAACCATTTCAATGCCATTTTTAAAAGAATGTCTGGAAGACCAACCCTTGTAACATTGTGTTTTCCTGAAGTTCACCAAGAATATTTGATTTTTGTTCATCAAGTGTTTCTGAAAATACAGAGGACTGATTCCCACCCAAGTATTGAAATTTGCAGGAGGAGTGTTAATCTATAGTAGCAAAAATCAGAAAGAATGTAATGGCATCTTTCCAATTAATGAATTTTTATTGAAATTTTTACAATTTTACTAAATGGCATAAGATTCTGTGATCTGTGTTTTAATTATAACTAATAATAATAATAAAGTTAGTTGGAAAAGGTGCTAATAAACATTGTTTTTCATTTGCAGACGACTCTATTTTATTCCCACAATGAAGTTTAGAACCAAAAACTTTAAAAAGGAAAAACCATTGTGATTAGAATTATGCAAACACCAGAATTCTAGGTAAACAATATACACAGTCAACAGTTTTGAAGTACTAATATAAATATGTGATTATAACTCTTATGTCTGGAACATGCTATTTCATAGACTTTTTTCATAAAGAGATGGATATAATGTTTGAGGGGGGAAGGAGAAATAAATACTAACTCAACACTTGAAATAAAAAAAAATGAAGGTCATTTCTGATGTAGTTTTCTTCTTCCACAAAGCAGTAGCATAAAGAATGATGCTTAATAAATTTAAAGCAACAAGTACTCGTAATAAATAATATTCCATTAGACTTGCAACATTCCATTTGCCTTTTGAAAAAAAAATCTGTAATTGAAGAAGTTACATCTCCAAAGTAACCAATTCTACTTAAGAGATTATAAAAAGACTGTGATTAGCAAGCTCCATTGTTGGTTTGCTTACCTTTCTAGGGAGTCTATGTTTAAGCAAAATAAATCTCGTTTATAGTCAAGATGTTTTGGGGTACACCTATAAATGTTTCCAAGTTTCATGTTGCAGCCAGAGCAAAACAAGGTTTCAAGAATGCTGTAAAGCAAAACATCAGACTTATTTTTAATTACATGCTCTAATTCAGAATTCCCTGCAAATGAAGCAAATAATACTGAAAATTCCTAAAGAAACAGGTATAATCTCTACGGATTTTATCTTCACATTCAGGGTTTCTTCATCCATTTTCCTTCCTCTTGCTTTTTGATTTTATACTTAGTCTGATAAAATGTTCAAAAATGAAAAACATACTATGTTGTGATATTGAATGGTCTAACACAAATAACTGCAATAATATTAGTTTGCTGGGTTGAGATAAATTAAAGAGTAGTGCATCTAAATATGGTTACTATTAAACTACATGGGCATTTCAAACCAAAAAAAAAGCTTTGATCAAAAGTAATTCAGCTACAGCAACATGAAGTTCTGCTAGATCAATTATAACTTCCATTCTGAAGTTCTTCTAACTTACCAGCCAGTTTCATCTGCTTGGTTTGAGAGTTTTTGCTCTTTGTCTATTGAGACATTGAGTGTAACACCTGAAACGTGAAAGATACACATCAAAGCAAGCAGAAACAAAATGTTCTCATAAAAAGGCAGGCCACTTTAATAAACCAAAGAACACAGAGAGCCATGTCAAGATTGTTTTGGTAGTTTTTGGGCCAGGAAAGGTTAACAAAGCTTTCCTTTTAACCATTAAAACACTTATATTCCATTCAGAGCAGGGAGCATAAAAACCACCGTTCAAATGAATATGAGGTGCTCCCTGAGCTTGTTTTCTTGCAGACATTTCATTACCCAAACTGATGATGTTACTTAGTTTGTGTAATGAAACCTCTGCAAGAAAACAAGCAAGCCGAGAAAGCATCAAGGACCCTTTATTTCAACCTTAAGCTACAAATATTCTCCTTTATAGGTATCAAATGAATATGTAACATAGAAAACTACAAATGAGTAAAAAAAACACAATACAATGCAGTTCAACAGCATGTGCAACTCAAGCAACGGATAAACCAGTTTTGTTAAACATGAAATTTGTTGAAGATCACAAATTCAACAGCAGCACTGACAAACTACAGCTTATTTTGGGATTTTGACCAACATTATCAGGTTCTTAGAAAAAAAAATTAACCCTAAATAATCTTGCAGTCAAATCTGAGAAAGGGAGAAGAATTTAGCCTAGAAGAAAAGATCTCTCTGCTGACAATGATCAGGTACTCCTCCATTTATGACAAGTGAGCCCAAAATTTCTGTGGTTAAGTGAGACATTTGTTAAGCCAAGCTTTGCCCCATTTTACCTTTCTTGCCTTAATTGTTAAGTGAATGTCTGCAGTATAGTAACACGGGTGTTACTTAACCTGGCTTCCCCATCAACTTTGCTTGTCAGGTTACAAAAGGGGATTACATGACCTTGAGAAACAGCAACGGTCGTTAAGTATGAACCAGTTGCCAAGCATCTGAATTTTGATCCCGGGGAGGCTTACAAACGTTGCAAGTGTGCAAAATGGGCATAAGTCACTTTCTTCAGAACGGTCACTTATAAAGAATTTTAAGTCAAGGACTACCTGCACTACGTTACATTACATTAGTTGTTAACACAGAACCGCAACCCGAAAAACGAGCAAGGCAAGACGCGAAAGGCAGAAATTCTTTCGCCGGTGCCTTCGAGGGATGGAACGGGGCGCTCGCGCACGCGCGAGAGAAGAATTCCCGCACGCGCGGGAAAAGAATTCCGAGCAAGAACGCGCAGTGTTGCTAGGTAGCCGCGCGCGTTGTTTTGTTTTTTGTTTTCCCCACTGACTCTTGAGCAGGATGCAGTTGGTCTCCTCGTCGTTAGTCTCCCAATTGAGCGTGTCTCCTACAGGCCGTTTACATCCGGTGCACAGGAACACCATAGGCAGGTCCTCTGCACTCGGCCGTTCCTCGTTACCGGGGTCTAGATTGTCAGAGAATGTTACCGCCGACAGAGAGCTTTCTTCAAACGGGAATGCCGCCATTTTTTCCAAACCACCCGCGCCGAACTCCGCCTCCTGCCTCCCCTCACTACCGGAAATAACGGGTGGCCCCTCTCTAGCACACCAACAAGGTTCTTTCGTTTTCTTTCCCGAGGAGAGGAGGCCGAAGCAGTAGCGGGGCAAGAAAGGGGAGGAGGGAGGATTTGTACGCTTGCGCACTAGCTCACGCTCTCCCGCAAGACAGTCCTCCTCAGTTGATGGATTCGCCGTGGAAGCTCTTCGAACGGAGCCGAGATTGCTAGTCTGCAAGCGTATTTCGTCTGAAGAGTGAGAAACGTGGATGACGCCGGCTTCATTTACTTCTGAACTAGCATTTAGATTGTACTATTCTTTAATACAGCCCTGCACTTTTTTTAAAAAAACTGCGTAAATGAATAAAAAGCTAAAGAAACTTGTGGTAAAGCCTAAACGTGTTACAGGTAGTCGTGGGGACCCTGCTGGTCCAGCAAATGCTGCCCTCTCAAACGTTTATACTTCTCGGATGCAGGTAGCAAAATCAGCCAAACCCTACCCCAAAATGAAGTTTTTAACAATAAATCTATCATGTAACTTTTGTCCTTGTCCAATTTCTGTCAAGGGAGGTGTGTACACATGACAAGCAGCATCTGAAATTCTAAAATGAATCTAAACAGTTGTTTTACAATGTGGATGCAAAACATTTGTTTACTATTGGCATTAGATTATAGTACAAACAATAACACACTGGGCCATGGCTAGTACTTCAAGCAAAAGACAGTCATTCAGTGTCATTTTAACATTTGGCAGCTGTAACAGTAGAAATGAAGGTCAGCCTGAGTAGTTCTGCTATATAAGGATGTCAAATGAAAATTTATTTGCACAATTACAGCACGGCTTTATGGAAACATTGTAGTTTTGTCCTGGATCTATTAGAGTCCAAAGCTACCTTGGTTATACTACTGAAATGACCAATTCAACAAATAATACTATGCAGTATGAGTATTATCTGGATTACTTTGATCTACCTCCAGTTGATGCAAGTAAACTGACAGCCTACAGATGTAAGTACTGCTGTTCTCTCCACTAGGCAGAAATAAATGTTTTATTCCCTCTTAACTGAAAGGATAAGTTAGATATAAATATCTTAAGACAGGGTAGAACCACAGAAACTTTAAATTCTATGGGTGGAGATAACTTTAATCTTGTCTTCATGGAGGCAGGTTTTTGATGGCCAGTGTTATATCTTGAATACAAGGAAATAGATCCTAAGCATGTTTTATTCTTTTTATTAAACTAGACATATCCAATTCTAGCAACTGTTCTTTATATGTTTTAGCCTTCAGTACCCTAATCATCTTTCTGCATACTTTGTATTGTTTCAACATCTTTTTTACATCGTGGCAACCAAAACTGGATGCAGTATTCTAAGTGTCATCTTACCAAGGCATTATAAAGTGTTATTTCAATATTTTAATTTTCACTACGACTGTACCTTAATATATTTATTGATCTTAGTAAGTCACAGCCAGACTGAGGATGCTAGTTTCCATTTGTAATGAAAACGTTGCATACATTTTAAATGCTGCACTAAAGACAGTCTTTTCTTGAATAATTAAAAAGAATAAAGAACGTATGAATTACTTGTATTTAAATATGCTGATTTTCATATTCATTTGAAGAATTCTAATTTATTTTTCAACAGATTCAATTGTCATAAGCTTTTGGACTGGACTTGTTTCTTTTGTGGCATTTCTCTTCTTTATTTTGTTCTACATGTCTCGATCTGGTACAACATCCATGAAGTGAGTGAAATATCTTTTACTCCACAAATGATTTTGTAGTTTTAAAGTTTGTTCAGCTCTAGAAAGGACTGTGACTTTAACTCTTACATATGATTTAATAAGATACTGAATTTAAAGTACATAACAATAAACAAAACATAGTAGTTCTTAATTATTTGCAGTTCAGTTTTTCTGAACATACTTTTTCAACACCTTAAAGATAGTAAAGTCCTTGTGATGGTTTAGTGTATTTAAAAATACAAATAAGTAAATCCAAGCAATTTATATATTTATCACGTTGCATTTAATATATGGAAATGTGGCCAATAACCCAAATTTGTTGAATCTCAAAAAAAGATATTGAAAGGTATCTACTGAATATTGCAAATATATCAGATTCCTATAAACTTCCTCATCCCCTACCTCCTACAAAATTGGCAGGTTAGATCCATATTTATTCATTTCAATTTACTTCAATTAAACATTAGTTTTAACTAAAGTAAATTGAAATATATTTTGATCTAATCTGCCAAATTTAGTGCTGTTTTATTTTAAAGATTACATCATTTTTTTTGTGGGAAGAATGTCTACATAGATACTTGGAATGTATATATCTTAGACATAGTGTTTTATCAATACAGCCTATCTCATAACCTATCTCACCTTGACAACCTCTCAGAAAGTAAGCAAAAGTTCTATACAAATAAATATTGCATTGCTGGGCATTGACCAAATAAACATTACTGGAACTAAACATTATAGAGAAAAATGTTATTAAAAACTGATTTAGCATTGAAAACCTGAGTTATAAGAATCAGTGTGATTTGAGCCATTATATGAATGTTTGGTTATCAGTTATTACTAATCTCCCATATTACCTCATAATATTTTAAAGATAATCAAACTTAATTTAGCAATTTTGTCCCCAGGACTGGAGGATCAAAGAAGTTTCCATGGAATTATTCAGAAACTATTCATCAAAATCTTGTTAACAATGACACTGTACGAATATCTGTACATAACCAAGGAGAAGAAATTGAACGGCTCTGTTCAAGTAATAGGTTACCATGTCACCATATAGACAATTCAGTGTAAAACCTTCTCATAAGTGAAACATGAAGCCCACTACATATTATAATATAATGTGCTAGGGGAATACCCATGTAAAAGAACATGTAATTCCTTTTTAAAAAAATACTTTGACTTTTTTGTTATATAATAATCATTGTACTAACTAATATAAAAGGGTAATTTACCAGAAAATATGAAATCCACAATTTACTTAAAAAAAAATCAAATAACTTTATACATATATGAGACAAAATTTTAACATTATATATACAGATTAGTAGCTAAAAGTCAAGCTTCAAATCATTCAAGAAATTGAACAAAACCAGAATCAGATCTCTACTGAATTAGTACTAGAAATATTACATTACTTGTATTTTTCACAATACGCAATGATTGTTATAAAAAAAAAACTGGCTTAATCTGCAGATTGGCTTTTGTCCTCATTGCAAATAAGTTGTGATTTAACATTACTTAAGGCTAATTAAAAAGTATGCAAGCCTGAGATTCAGTGGAACAAAATACAGTGACTCTCTATATTATAAATTATTCACTTTACAAAATACAAACATTTCTGTGTATGTATGTACCACATGCAACATTAAAGTTGCACATCCTTTTATCTGCATATAGTATATCATGTATTAGAAGCAGCATTATAAAAAATAAAAAAAAAATTTTTTCTGAAATTAAAATATACAATAATGTTGTATACTGTTGGGCAGTTTTACAACGACAGATATAGTTCATTTTCTAAGAATTACTGGAAATGTAATAATCAGGTTGGATCATTTTTCCATATTTGGTAGCAATGTTACACAGCTCAACAACGTTGAAAACTGATTTCTAATGGATTGAAACTATTTATAAAAGCTTAGTTTCCTTTCCAACCAATTAAATATTATCAAAGCTTATTTTCCCATAAAGTACACTGGAGCAGCTTTGTACATGTTAATTGCTGCAATGACTCTACGCTTCTGATAGGAAAGTACACAGAATTCTTTCTCAGAAGAATAGCTAATTAACCCGTAGGAGTATACATCTATGTCCAAAATAACTTTTATATTTGAAAAGTAAATCTGACGCAGAATGTAATTCAACTTGGGAACCATTTAATGATTGTAGTATCATATATGAGTTTGCACCACATCTAAAATTTCATTTTTTTAGCATAAAATGACAATATTCTAATTATCAGTTATTTGTTTGGACAGAAACTATTATAATTATTTATATTACTTTATGATTTATAATGTACTGATTTTACTATTGTTCGCATATTACTTGGATTTTAAATATAACTTACAATTTTTCAAACCATGTAGGATACTTAATTATACAAATCTAATGTTGAAAATGTTTATCTTAATAAATTTCATTATAGCCAATTTGATTCACTTATAAATTCCTATGATTCACTTCACGGTGTATGGTTTTTGCTCCCCTTTTTTCTTCTATTTGTTTTTTCTCAAAAATATTAATATTATATGTCAATAAATATAATAAATGTAACATTAATCCATAACAAATAATGAAGTCAGATTTCATTATACCCTTACAGAAAATAGCTAGACATTTTTGCAAAATAATGTGGCAGGCAATTTCTTGTAAATGAATATGACAGACTAGCCTGGTAAACATGACAAAAGAAACAAAACAAAGTATAACCCTGACACTACTGTGGTCTTGTTTTCTTTTAGCCAGTTTCTGGATCCAGATATGGGATTGTATGAAGACTGTGCATTATGTATCTTTGAATTAAAGGAATGGCTTCTTATAGTTATTGTTCTTATGAACATTTCAGAAACTTCAGACAAGGAAAAACTCCTTTGGAGTGTGGATATATAATACTAGGGGTATGCATGCTTCAAAAATAATTCAGAAAAATATTCTTTATCATATTTTTTTCTCAGGCTTCTATGTGATGAACTTGATAGAAAGATACTGTTTTTGAAAAGATTACTCCATTAAAGTAACTTCACCTTTTAATGTGATTTATTAAAACAAACCTGCAAAGAAATGCAGTTGCTTTAAAATGGGACTGTTTCTCTACCCCTGCTTATAATTTATTATTTTTACTACTTCAAATCAATGTTCAATGTTTTGTTTATTATTTTTCCAACATTTAAAAATACAATATACAAAAATAGCGTCTAAAACCAGCTTTGCCAAATTCTGAAAAAATATATCGTATATACTCGAGTATAAGCCGAGGGGTTTTTTTTCAGCACAAAAAATATGCTGAAAAACTCGGCTTATACTCGAGTCAATAAGTTTTCCCAGGTTTTTTTGGCAAAATTAGGTGCCTCGGCTTATATTCAGGTCGACTTATACTCGAGTATATACGGTAAGTTTATTTGAAATCATGCCTATTATAACACACAGTTGTACTGCTGTTAATAGACATTGTTTTTGAAACAATTCCTGTAGAATTGTACACAATGGCTCCTTTTATTTATTTATTTAATTTCAAGATAGGAAAGTTGACAAATGTTTGAGTTTAAGACTGAAAGTGAGGTTGAAGACTTAAAAATGAGTATATGTCTTTGCAGAGAGAAACCATTGAATCTTCAAATTCCAACCTTTTTTTGTCATTTCGTTCAGTATCGGTTGCTCCACATATTAGTTTAATGTGCATCATAAACATGTCTGGTTGCCTTGCTCCTAGCCAAATGTCTCCAATATAAATTGAAGTAAGGAAAATTCTTGCAGCTATGAAAAAGAAAATGATAGTTACAAAAGGAGTATGCATAACATGGGAAAACAACTTTGTTTCAAACTTGAAAGAACCTATCCTATAGTTGAGATTCTGTCATGGTATGGTAAGCCAAAACCCACAACACTTTAGTTTCATACAAAGCAAAATTCAGATGAGCGAGTTATATATGCTGTCCTCTGTCCCATCACCTCTTAGCAAATCCCAACATAGCATATCTCTCTGGTCTGCCCCTCAATTTTCTCAGTGCCTTCCCTTCTTGGCTTCTGTTGATATCCCAATATGACATGTGCCACCATCCCACCCAAGAATTGTCCCCATCATCTTCCCTCCCTCCACTTAGTGATGTATTGGCTTTTTATGTGCTTGTCCCAGCCTACTTCTGCCCTGACTGAACAGACACTTTTTTGTTTTTTACCGAGAATGACTTGCATTGAGAATGGTTTAGATCCTGGATATCAAACCTTTCGGCTTGCCTGGGCTGCACTGAGTGAAGAGGAATTTTCTTGGGCCATACATAAAATGTATAATATGGTCAATGTGTATAAATCACATAATAATACTAAAGGTTTATGGTCTTGGGGTACATTACTAGTTGTCCAGGGCTACATGCAGTCTGCATCTGGCAGGTTGGACATGGCTAATTTAGATAATCCTAGTTATTAGTATTTGAGTATCTTGATTTATAGATTTAATTTAGTCTGCAAAAGATCTGCCAATGAACATTTCATTTTCCACTAGAACCCACCAGTTATAATCCTGGCCCCCCAAAATTAATATTTGAATAGCTACTAAAAATATTGTACTGCCTTGACTTAAAAATAGCAGAAAATAATATTTGAAGACTCAAACTGTTAAAACATTACTGTACCTTGTAGTTTTAAGGATATTAAAGATATCTATGGACATTCTTAGTCATCCAGGTCATGGTTGTCCCAAAGTTGCTTTTTCAAAAGACAATGGACTTTCTTTGGTTTTCCTTGAAGACGTTTTGCTTCTCATTCAAGAAGTTTCTTTAGTTCTGAAATTCTTGTATGAGAAGCGAAAAAAACCCAAAGAAAATCCAATTACCTTTTGAAAAAAGCACTTTTGGGATATTACAGATAATTACATACTAAGCCCCAATCTTCCGAATAATTATTTGCCCTTGACCGTAACCCATTTTGTGGAAATGTTAATCTGTATTATGATATATAGTAAATTCCAAGGTTTCATGAAGCAGAACAGCCTTTTTCAATTTAACGACTTTTAATTGTACCTATATGTTAATAGACATGAAGTTTAGCATATGTCAAAGGCAACATGTAGGGAAAGGACAGAGTATTTTTTTGTAAAAACAAAAACAAAGAAGTTACCTTTGTTCACATCTGTAACTTCAGTGAGGCAGAATTTTTTCACAGCCACATGAAAATTATTTTCTGTCAGGCTCTGAGATTCTAGTAGATGGAGCATGATTCCATTAAGCACAGAGAGATCACTCAATTTCACAATTTCAGAGGCATTACAGATGCTACTATAAAGCTTAAATATAGCCCTTTTCAGAATTCCATCTTTAAGAATATAATCCAGTATAATGTTGTTTCCAAACCCACATTTTTTAAACCACCAGAAAGTCGGGAGTGCATTCTGAATGTTCAAGCTGTCATCCAGGAAGGATGTAATGAGCCATCTAAAAACTAAATAAGTAATTTTACAGGTAAGATCTGGATTACTATATCCTTTCTGTTCTGTTGGAGATTTTGCTGATATTTCCAGTAAAACAGGTTCCCAGAGGATAAAAATAGATCTTAGAAGAGTTCTGCATTCATTTAAATAAACTTCTTTCCATTCAGAGATTGTAGCTGCCTCTATTTCAATTTTACTCTTTTTCTGAGCTAGTCGGATTGATGTTTGCGAATGTAACCATGGCTTGTTCCTGTCTGTATTTTCTGCAGGAGATAAAAGCAAAATACTCTTTTATAAACAATGAAACAAGGGCAATCAATGCGTAAATAAATAGTACTAAGGCTGAGATGAATTGACATATGTTGTCATGCAGATTAACTTCCTAGTGAGTATGCTAATTACCTCAAAAAATAGCAGATTTAATATTAAATCAATACTAGCAAGTTAACTGTTGCACCTCAAATATTAAAAAAAAACCCAAATGTTAATTACTATCTAACAAGATCTTTGGAACAGCACCTATTTTGTCCAGCAAAAATATCTGTATCAAATGCATCAAAGGTTTATACTCTTGTCTTTAAAATTAACATCAACAGTAGCAATTTAGTTAAACAGAATCAGATAAGCGTTCATTACACAATGTAAAGTTGTTTATATACACTGTATCCCTACATGTTTTCAAAGTAATTTAACTCCCTTACAGTTCTTCCTCAATCATTCCTCTCTCATTGGGGAATGTGATTACATAGGGATTGCATTTCCTGAATTAATCTTTGACAAACCGAAACACTGATGATGTCTCTATTGCCAATGCCTTTGTGGTATATAAAAAGCTTTTGACACTGAGTTTCGGTGAGGCTGAACATGAAGCTATTCAAATCAATTTGCCATCATGAATCAAGGAGATATTTTCAGACATATGCCTGCTGAATTCAATATTCTAGAGCAACTCATCTGGCAAACAATATATTGATTTGTGAGAGTTATTACAAATGCAGGAAACTATTTTGCTCTCAGAATAAGTGGCTGTTTTTACAGCATTTGCTGAATCTAAACATTGATATAATATGGTAACTCTCTGAAATACTTTGAGAATACTTACTAAGCAATTCTTTGATTTGGTATTGTTGTGCAACAACATGCAGGTGATCCTGAAGCTCTATATCTTTGCTAATTATACTCCACTTGTACAAAAGTATCAATACACCATTGTTTGAAATAATATGTTTGTTTACAATGAATCTGCCCATTTCTCTGAAGGCTTCAATAACCAGAGTGCGGTATTCCAGTACAGAGCTTAATACACTGAAAAACCGAATAAACTCAACAGGATCCAAGTTGGTTCTATTTAGCAGAAGACAGGGGATAAAATTGGGACAAAATATTTATATTTTCTCACATTATGCACAATAATGACTAAGCTCACTGTTGATTTTGATAGGCACCGAGTGGTTAATCTTATTCCTGAATGAAACAAAACAAGAAACTGATGGATAATTTATACATTATTGGAAAACATTACTAATATGACATAAACATTGTACTTATATATTCATCTTATAGAAAGTTAGTATTAATATGTAACTTGGAGCTAATGACTTATAAAATTTTATGGCTTCTGAATCTGTTGCTCCCTGGATGGGGAGCAACCAACTTTGACTCAATCCTACCAAGACCAAACCACGGGTTATTAAGGCCCACTGGATCTGGGAATATTCAATCTTTAACCAATGCAATGTGGGGCTCCTGCTCTGTAAGCAATGTGGTCATAAGGGCATTTGTGCAACTGGTGCACGAATTGCAGCCTTTCGTGAATCAGGAAGCCCTTCAGCGAGTCATGTCCTAGGCACCTTGTGGCTCAGCTACTGCAAAGCTGATCATTTCAACTTCCAAATTTTTTCCTAGTAATGTGTAGACGGGGGGTGGGGTGGGGGGAGAGACACCATAAAAGATATATTTATTTTATTGTTTATTAAGAAGTAAAATTAGATTTAACATCTCCCTTAGAGAAGAATATCTGTAGGGGGTAAAGATAGGTCAAAAGCCTATCTAAAATAAAGGCTCAGAAGAACAGCTGTAGTCGATTCCTACATATTTAGTTCTGCTAACAGGATCCAAACTAGTGTGAAACAACCTTAAGAAAAGCCTCCTAAATTAGTAGCAAAGTGGCAGAAATTCCAAATGATATAAAGTATGAATTATGGAAGATAGGCCTGACTTCAGCAGAAAATATTAATGGCTGCCTAGACTGGGCTAGATTACGATCAGAGGTGGTATTCAACAGGTTCTGACCAGTTCTGGAGAACCCGTAGTGGAAATTTTGAGTAGTTCAGAGAACCAGCAATACCACCTCTGACTGGCCCCGCCCCCATCTATTCTCTGCCTCCTGAGTCCCAGCTGACCGGTTGGGACTTCTTTTGTTGCCCTGCACAGGAAAACGGAGCTGGAAAGCAAGTTAGTGGGGTGGGGAGGGAATGGGGATTTTACAGTATCCTTTCTCAGGCACACCCACCAAACCACACCCACCAAGCCATGCCCACAGAACAGGTAGTAAAAAAAATTGAATCCCACCCCTGATTACGATGATGACAAATATTCTTATTTACAATGAAAAAGTAATTATTTTTGTAAAGGAAAAGTATATTCCAAAGCAGTGCAACAATACAATACCTTAAAAATAGATAATAATTACCGGATGTGGCTAAGAAGTGTGAGCAGAACATGGAGAAATTCATTGATAAGCTGGATGGGAAGGAATTTCTGGTTCTCTTTTAATTCCAGTTGGCTGGATGAACTGAGTGAAGTTTGCTTATTTCCTAAATTAGTTTTCCAGAGAGTGTCAATTAAGGAGATTATACATATTAACAACTTGTTTTCTAGAAACCTAGAAATAAAAAAGATAGAATTTCAGGAAAACATTTAATTTTATTACTATAAGTTTTTTATATTTTAAAAGCTCGCATTTTTTGGGAACTGATAAAATAGTTGGAACATCTGAATTCAATTTCTTTTATATAAATTTAATATTAGCCTTTACAATTTGGGTTTAAAAAAGTTACTTGCAGGTATAATAGCATTCAGGATAATATAAGCGTAGTTACCAGAATTACTTTTATACTAATTTCAATTGTAAAATATTACATTCTTCAGAATGTCTTAGCAAATAAAATTTTGAATATGTCACTTGCTTTAAATGAAGTCTGATACTTTAAAAAAAATATTTTGAACTGAGATTTTATTTGACCCTGAAGTCAAATAAAACCTTCTTAAGCTTTTAATAAACTTCCCAAATAATTTTTCTGATTATTAGTCAGAAATAATATATATCAAAAAGTGTAAATATGAACAAGAAAACATGCATCTATGAAAGGCAATGTCCCCTGAACAATTATATAAATTAATTGCAAAGGGTTTAAATTGCTTTATTGCATATTGTGTTCTTTTAAAATAAATCTAATCTTAATCACTTGTGTTGTTACCTTAAATATGCAAAAGAGAGAGGGCGGGGAGGGAGGGGGAGAACAACCACATTCCTGGATACCATAGATGCCCCTAAAGAAATTTCTGTGTACCTTTTCTCAACAATGGATAGCAGCCAGGTTAAAAGGCTATGGTCCCTTATTAGTTCATAAGCAGCTTTAGTGATATATGCAGCATTTTGAAGTATTTCCAGAATCTGATACTGAAAAGCAAAGCAAAACAAAACAAAAGCACTATTAATAAAAGAAGGTGATAAAAGGGAATTTTCTAGCCACCATGTTATAGATCAGGATAGCATCTCATGATTTACTAATAGTGGCTACAATTCAATCCTAACTATAAGAGTTGGAATATTTGGAGAAATATTAATTATCATATTATCTGTGTTCATATACTATCAAACTTCCTAGGGAAGAGAATAAAGTGATGTTGCTGTAGTTGCCATCTTCCACAGCATTTCACAGAAATGGCAACCGTCATTTCACAGAAATGGCAACCGTGTGCCTCAGAGTGTAAAATCTCTCCTGACTGCAACAACATTTGAAAAGTCTCTATATTTTTTTGCTTTAAATGTTACATTTATTACAAAATGTATAGGCAAGAGTTCAATTTACACTGACAGACTCAAATTGACATCTTGGAATAAATGTGTAAATTTCATTCCTGCTCTAAATGAAATGAAAACCATTTTATTTTTAGAAGAGTTTTACCTGTGTTGCTTCATCACATAATGGGCTATGGAAGAAGGACAGAATGACATGGAAAATCTTTTGATAATCATACAGCTGATAGCAGTTTTTATCTCTGAGACCTTCTCCAATAATAGCTAGAACCCATTCACGCTCCATTTTGTGCTAGAAAACAAAGAAAACACAAAAAACATCATCAGGGAAGCAAAATTACACTACAGTTCTTTTTCATGTAAAGAGAATGCTGAGTCCAGACAACAGATGTGCTTCAAAAAGAACACTAATTTTTTTTTAGAAAACCTTAAACCAAAGTTGAACCAGTTAAATTCTAGATATTACATGCAAGTATTTTTCCAATTACAATTTAGTGATTACAACTCAATTTTATCCAGTTTTCTTTGAATCAGCAGATTCAACTAAAAAAATATTAGCAATCCATAATGCCCAAAGATTTTCATAATAATTCTGCATATATGGTGAAATAAAATCTATTTTCTATCAGAAAGTTTACCTTTGGTTGCATATGGATGTAAAACAATATTACACATTTTTATGTCAAATAAGCACGCAAAAGTTGCAAAGGTTTTTCAAGATGAGACTTTCTGGAGAACATGTTTAAAATGGCAACATAATAGCAGGAAAGTAGTTGAACAGTAATATCTAAGCAATGGAGCAGAAGACGATGAAAAAAAGATAGCTGAACATAAAATTTCCACGTGAGTCTCTTTACCTCTGAATCAAAACTATAGAAAAGGTGAAAAAATCCTGGCACTTTTCTCAAATCCAAATATTGGTGAGATAGAAGAAATCTGTTCAACTTTGTGTACATATGCTCCTCTGTAAAAACAACACATAATTGAATATTATAAAAACAGCAGTAGCACAGACTTACATACCACTTCACAGGGCTTTACAGCCCTGTCTAAGTGATTTTATATATCAGCATATTGTCCCCACAGAACTGAGGATCCTCATTTTACTGATCTCAGAAGGATGGAAGGAGCTGGTGAGAATCGAACTTCTGGCAGGCAGCAGAATTAGCCTGCAATACTACTTTCTAACCACTGCGCCACCATGGCTCATGAAAAAGAACTGCATATTTTCATATTCATTACAAAGCACATTATAGAACTTCATTTATATTATATTCTTATATCTACAATAAAAATATTCTTCATGTGTAAAACATAAAATTTCTAATACAAATCACAGGTAGCAACTATCATTTTCATTTTTTTAATTTGTTTTGTTGTACATATATATACATACAATTAACTTCACTGTATTTTCCCTTCTACTATTAACTTTTCTTCAATGGAGGCATTATCACACAGGTACCTCAAATGGAAAATGGCCATTTGCCCCCCCCCCTTTTCGATATTTACAAATATTTCTATTGTTTTTTAATGGTTTGCCCTCTGAGCTTGCCATTTAGCTCCCAAATCTTTTGTTACCAGGCTAGGTAACATCATAAGTGTCTTCTTCTATTCCTTCTATTCCTCTTTAACTTATATATGCTTTGTATGCCAGTCAGAGACCACTACCAAAACAAACAAGACAAAAACTATAAGACAAAAACACCAGAAAGTTCTACAATACCTGGCTTCAGTATTTGCTGGGCAACTCTAGCTATATACAGTGTTAAAGGGAAAGTAAATCTGAGGTTTGGTTGTTTTATTCCATTCTGCACAACATCCATAAGGTACAGCAACTACAAAAAAGAGTAAAAGTAAAACAACTGGAAAAATATTTTTTTTAATTCCATTTAGAAACCTTTAATTGCATTCACAAGACTATTTTTCATAGAAAAATATTTATTTTCCTTTAGAGCAACTGCAAATAAATTTGTATTTATCCTAATCCCAGATTAACACACTCATTGAAACCACAGCATTTGAAGAAACAAGATCAGTCTGGATGCACAATAAAATAGAACTTACTACTTGCATAAATCTAATTTAAAAACTGCATAAAGAATATCAATCCATAGTTGAATTAATTTACCTGTTAATTCATTTATAACCTCAAATTTCAGGAAGACAGTTAAATTACAAAGTGTTCTAAAACATTTTCATTTAACAGAGGAAAAAAATAAGCATTCTAATCATGATTCCAGATTGGATTTAATTTAAAAAATTAACAATCAAAGTATTCTATAAATTCCATATACATTATTGAAATAGGCTGGATTTCATTTTAATCAAGAAATTTTGTTTTTTCTGTTAAGTGATACAAAGCAGTGGTGGGATTCAATTTTTTTTTACTACCAGTTCTGTGGGCATGAGGATAGTGTAAGATCTCCAGTCAGAGATGGTATTTGCCGGTTCTCCAAACTACTCAAAATGGCCATTACCGGTTCTCCAGAACTGGTCAGAACCTGCTGAATGCCACCTCTGGTACAAAGGTTAACTCATCTCTACCTGTTTCTGTTCTCGGAATCGAGCCGCTTCCAGATGAGAGCGAAAGGAACTCAGGACATGGTAGGCAGCTGCACGCATGTTACTGTCATAGCTGCTAAGGGCAGCTACTGTCAAGCCCAATGCATTGACTTCAATGAACTTATGACATGCCACCACACACTCTACACAGCAGGAAGAAAATAAATATGCATTTTTAATAAGAAAATGTTTCAAAAATAATTTTAAGAAAATAAAATCTGAATGCACACATTAAAATCACAACAATCACCAACAGAGTGATATTATCACAGAGTGATAATAAGTCTCGTTAGAAAAACAGCCTTCTCTGTTGCTCTCTCTTATATAAAGTTGAATTGCCTTAATGTTCTCCTCACACATAAGGATCCCTACTGCATCCTTCTAATGGATTCTACATTCTGGTATAAATACCATTTTTCCTCCCTTTTTCTCAGCTGACCTCTATCACAGTGGTCCCCAACCTTTTTTGTACCAGGGACCAGTTTCACGCAGAAACACTTTTTCAAGGATGGTGGGGGGGTAGTCGGGTAATAAAACGTCTGCCAGCAAACCACCAAGTTCAGGGAGGCTCAGGACAAGTCCCTGCAGGATGGCTGAGAAGCCCCACCTCTCAGCCCTGACTCCCTCAGCCTCATCCCTCAGGTGTCTCCCTCCCTCCCTCAGCCTTATCCCTCAGGTGTCTGCCTCGTTCCTCTCTCAGTCGCTCTCTTGCTCCTCCACCAGCCCAGGAAGAAACTGCTTCAAAGAAGCCAGCAGGGTGGCTTTTCCTGTCGGCACAGCTCCTCCAAAGCGCCCGTTCACCCCCACCCCGCTGCCCGCGGTTCAATCCAGTGCTCCATTCTGCCTGCCTGCCTGCCTGCCTTCGTTTCTGGTTGTTTCGGAGCAGCTTCGGCTGAGTAAAAGAGGCGAATAGTTATTATTCTCAGCCAAAGCTACTCCGAAACAACCAGAAACGAAGGCAGGCAGGCAGGCAGGCAGAACGGAGCACTGGATTGAACCGCGGGCGGCGGGGTGGGGGTGAACAGGCGCTTCAGAGGAGCTGCGCTGACAGGAAAAGCCACCCTACCGGCTTCTTTGAAGCAGTTTCTTCCTGGGCTGGTGGAGGAGCGAGAGAGCGACTGAGAGAGGAACGAGGCGGGAGGAAACCGAAGCCGCTGAGCCGGAGAGCAGGACAGGCTTTGGTTGCTTCCTCCCTCCCCTTCTTTCATTTGTGTCCTTGATCCCTGATCCCAGCAGCATTCACCGAAGGTGAAGAAAGCCGCTATTTTTATTTTATTTTTATTTTCTTTGCGGCCCGGTACCAAATGATCCACGGACCGGGACCGGTCCGCAGCCCGGTGGTTGGGGACCCCTGCTCTATCAGAATGCATATTCATGGCCAGTAAGAACAGAATAGTTATCTTTTACTACACTTTTCTATGTAACCTGTGGGAAGGGTTTGAATTTTTATTCAATCAGTTCACATATGTTTGTGAAACAGTAAGTCTAATGAAAACCACTGCAATTGTGAGGACAGAGGCAAAATGAAAAATGGTTCGGGTTAATCCCCCATCCAATTCTATTTTATAAAAAGACACATTCTATCAAGGATAAAACCTTTTTATGGACAAGGCCTACATGAACTTTCTGAAGATTAATCTGAAAATAGGTCTAGGACATGTACAAAAAACCCTGACCTTGCCAGCTAGAATCAGTTTCTAATGTAGCTTTAATTTATGTTGGACACAGAGCTTATTTACAGAACCTTGGAAAGATGGCTGCTAAGCAAACAATTGCTGATACAATAATCAGTTCTGGAAACTGCCATATCTTTCTCTTTTTTAAGTAATATGGATTTTAAAAAGTGAGAATAATTAAACATGTGCCTGACGGTGTGGTTATAATACCACAAAAAAAAGAAACACAAGTCCTTTGGCCCACATTCATAGCTAAGGATGGTCAACTATCTTGCAGAATTCTGTAGTCAAAAGATTCATGAAATTAGCCTGTTTTAAACATTTGTCTGCAGGATAAAAGGAAGTATAAAGGCATGCAGGACATATAATGGAATCCTCAGTTTGAACAACATAGAGAAGTTGCCAACAAAAACAGACAATGCAAAACAATCACTTTGTATACCTGGCCTTAATAATTCACTGAATAGCTGGAGAAGAAAACATGGATCATAGAGATCTTCAAAAGCCATATCACTTTTCCCTTTGCTTTGTAATGTATGTTCTTCCTAAAATGAAAAACATAAATTTCGATTTGCTTCTTGGATTTTATGTCCTTTGGTTGTCTTTTCACAGAACTTCTGATACAAATCCTGAAAAAAAGTATAGCTAATCTTCCACTTATGATTATAACTGGGCCTGGAATCTCAATTGTCGAGCAAAGTGATTATCAACAGAGATACTATGCCTGTGATAGCGAACTTATGGCACGTATGCCAGAGATGGCACGCAGAGCCCTCTCTTGGGCATGTGACCCGTTGTCCCAGCTCAGCTCCACTGCACATGTGTGCCTCCCGCCAGCCAGCTGGTCTTTGGGTCTTTGCAGCACATGTGTGGAGGGTGGGCACATGCATGGGGGGGGGGCGGCACGCATGCACGGGGATGCAAAGGTGCATGCATGGGGGCACACGCATGCGTGAGGGTGAGGCACATGTGCAGGGACGCATGTGTGAGGCCACATGTGCATGCATAGGGGATGCACTTGCCTTGAATTTTGGGGATGCACGCACACATGCATGCTTTGGGCTCTTGGTGCTGAAAAGGTTAGCCAACACTGTACTATGCTATATATCTGCTCAACGACAGGGTCTCCCAGTCGAAGTCGTTAAGCAACCCCATGGGTCATTATGCAGAGTGCCAGCCTCCTGTATAGGGTGGGGCAAGAAGAGGGCTTGGGCCTCCCACCACACCCAGGAGGTTAGGGCCCTCTGCCTGCCCTACCAGAGGAAATAATGATGAGAAAGATGGCATATGCTAACTTTTTAAGCAGATTTGAAGTCTGTTCCTTCAGCACATCAAGAATTTCCCCTCTGGGGAAAGAAAGCATTCTGAAAAGTGCAGAATGCTAGCATTCACTAGCATTTTTGCCAGATTTGAGGTCATTTCCTTCAGCACGTGGGAGGATTTCTTTTCCTTACATAGAAGGGAGGGGAAACTCCTCAGTGCTTGTAGAGCAATGGTCCCAAATCTTCTAGCTTGGCGGCCCGATGTGGGGGAACAGGGGATGGTTATTTGTGTGGCAGTCACACAGATGCAAGTTCACAGCTCCATGTGTGCATGTGGAGTTAAACATGTGAGCTTGCCTAATGCTTTCTATGGCCCAGCTGCAAACTGGCCACAGCTCTGAAGTGGGAAGAGGTTGGGCCCCCTGTCATAGGGAAACCAATGCCCCCCCCTCCCACCAGCAACCTTCCTTGCTGGCTTCCCCATTAACTTTCTGGGGAAGGTCAAAGAGCAGAGTATAAATGTTCACAGGACACTCTGGCAACTGGTTATAAATGAGAACAGGTTGCCAAGGTGCTGAAATGTGATAATGTGATTGTGGGGAGCCCTACACAATGTTTTGTGACAATAGAAGTGCTTTATGGGCCATAAAGCACCTGTTTCAAGGCCATCATCACTGTGAATGGTTGTTAAATGACTAATTGCAAGTTGTGGACTACCTGTACACTTAGAAATTACTGCTATATGTTGGCTTGACTGATTTTTCTTTTTGCAAAAACATTTTAACCGTTTCCTCAATAGTCAGCTCAAAACAAAATAACAAATTCTGAACAGGGATCTGATGGTTAACCCCTGAGCATCAAGTTAAATTATATATAAAAAGAACAGAAATCTGCAGTTAAGTCCAAGGCACCTCAGGGGAAAGAAGAAGCCGATGCTGGGGGAAGTGGAGTATGGTCCTCATCATTACTTCTCGATCCAGCAGGCACATAATTTCTTGCATGCTTGGTTGCTGCCACAGTGACTTCCCCAAACTTTTGCATGTTTTATGATGCTCCACAGCAGCTGGACCCCACAGCAATATTCTGGAATTAGACCAGGAGAAAAACATGTATTTGTATGTTGCACTTGAACAGAAGATAGAAATTAAAATATTAATCTGAGTAATCTTAGAATAAAGCTAGCTTTTGCCTCCCTTCTTACAAGAATGTGTTTCCTTTTCCCTTTCTAAGCCATTTCAAACAAAATTAAACCATTATGAAATGACACTTAGTCCCCATGCTGTATGTTTTGGTAAATTGCCGAGAGATGATCACAGTGAATTATCTTTACAAAGTCTTGACTCCTGCAAAGTGTGTCAACAAAATCACTACCAGCAGAAGGCTTCTTTTCATAATGTTGTTTTTATTTAATCAAACAAAAGCTTTATAACAGAACCCAAACTGTTCCCTTCAAGATGTTCTTCTTTAATGATTCAGAAAAAAATATGTCAAAGACAAGGAAGATATTCCAACAGTATTTCTATTGAATATTGCTTGTCCCAGGGGCAAAATGATCCAGATATTTAAGTGCTACTCGATATTCTTGACCACTTTGTGACCAGAAGAGATGATAAGCATCTCTCCTTAAACTCTATCTCTTGTGGGAAGAATATTTATATAACAGTGTTTCCTTAGCATTGAAGTAAATTGGGAGAATGATCAGATGAAAGGGCAGTCGCTGAATTTATCAGTTCACTAAGTTTATACTGAAATCCATAACCAAATACCAGTATCTGAAGGCCTGCAAAGCAAAGAGACAGCAAACTGCCATTTTCCTAACAGATAAAACAACTTCATTATCTTATCTTTCCTTGCACATATATGCTAGGCAAGGGAAGTCCCATTCTGCATTTCTGCTGCTTCTAGTTGTAGGAAGATGGCAGTAGTCAGATGATTCATATTACTTACTGCACTTTGAGTTATCGGCCACAGGCACTTATGGCAGCAGTAAATAATTTAAGGAGAGATTGTAGACATAGGGACTCCATTCTGATATCATTCTATTCCAAAACTGTATAAATATTTCTTGGGAAGGCTTCATTCCAAAAACTAACAGGTGGAGGCAGGCAAAAACTAAATAATTTTGTTTAGTAAGCTTATAGCATTAATTAAAATTAAATGAATTAAGATCGGACTCATTATATATTTAAATAATTTTCCTCTTTTGCCACATTAAAAATTACTGTTTGAAGGCTTCTGAGAGTCACAATTTTTTTGAAGGGTCTCATGTAGCCTATAGTTTTAGGTTATGTATCAAGTTGCTTACTTGATTTTGACTTATTATGCATTGCAAACCCAAGCTTTGTACTTTGTAAATAGTTTATATTTATATAAACTATTTTCTATAAATAGTTTAAATCTTAATCTATTTTATGAACCCAGAATATATGGTTTATTCAACCAACCCTGATTTAGCAAACCATAGCAAAATAAGTCTGACAAGAAAGGTACATTTTTCACCTATTACAATGACCAAGATGTATATACACAAACCTGAAGTCAAGAAGGCTTAGACCATTATTTTCATATAATTTAAGTAAAAACAATATCTTCTGATCTAGAAAAAAGAAAGACAATGTAAAAATGACATATATCTAGAGGAAACCCACATGCCTAAGAACATAGCCATATTACATTCATATGGAGGCTAAAGATAGATGTGTGCCCACCCTATTCTTTCCATTTCAGGAACTTCATACATTCAGGTGTCTCACTGAGGGCTTGTGAAAACTAGCATCTTTGACTCATTATTGTCATTCACAGTTTTGAGCTTTCATATCCTATCATCATCTTGAATTCTAATATTTGATGGAAACTTTCATCATCCAGTAACAGAGAAAGTGACTTTAATATAGTTGTGAGTTCACCTGAAGTCCCTGAACACCTATCACAAGGTATATTCAATATCCTCCAGGCTCAGTCCACCCTATAATACAAGCCCCCACCCAGTCTTCACTACTGTTGTGTCTTGAGCAGTGTGCCTTCTTTTCTTGAATTTTTGCTCAGTGTTAGTTTAAAAATGCAGAAAAAATGAATGTTTTGTTCAAGCCCTTAAAGACAAAAAATCTTTTAAAATTAACTTTTGCCTGTTTTCTTGATTGATTTGAGAATTGCAGTTTAAGTCAAACATGACACAATCAATACCCCCTCCTCTTCTACATGGATCTTTTTTGTTTCTCACTCTCAAGAGAAAATTTGCTCACCTGAAATGCTCAGTGTTGCACCATATGCTCCAAGCAGCACAGCAAAATGATTTCTCTCACAAACTGCAGGGCAGAGTTTCACAAGAGACAACAGGAGGTTCACTAATGCCTCTGAAAACAAAAAGGAAAGGTATTTAGCTCTTTCCCTCCCACCATGCAATTTGATTTTTTTCCCAACACTTTCTTAACATAATCATGCTGCACATTAAGCTGATTGAGCAGGATCTTCTGGGATAAATAAAACATTATAATAACCCCACACTAATTTTCTGCAAGTTTCCCATTCGTATGAGTTAAACTTTGCACAGAACTTTCTAGTGTCTAAATTGGAAACCTATAGATGTGTTTCCAGCTACATGCTGGCAAGATATCCTGGGAATTGTAGGCAACAGGTTGGTGAGGACTACGTAAGAATAGTGTTTATTGGTACAAACATTATAGATCAATAATTATTTAACAATAACCCCACATAAATATCTTTTTTTAAAGCTTAGGAAACATTTAATTTGTTCAGGACCCTCTGGGAAAATGAACTTGAGAGAATGATAAAAACTAATTTGCTGGGAAATCAGCAGTTTTATCAGCAATTTTTACGAAGAGAAAGTATTTCTCACTTTTCTCTCACATACATTTTGTAACTACTGTATATGAGATATTCAGTATATATGATAACCATATATAATCATTTTTTAAAGTTCACTGACAAATTAAGTTGAGCATTATAATAATTTATTAAACTTGTATGCTGTTTGTATGAGTCTATAAGTTATCATGAAAGAAACTGATAGTGCTAGATAGATACTACTGCCAGAATACATCAGTGGGCAACAAACAAAATGTATGGAAAAATGGTTTGCAAATATATTAATTATACATTAAACACCAAAGAAGCTAGAAAAAAAGAGAGACCTCTTAGATGAGCATTCATGTCACTGCCTTCTTGTGGTCTCAACATTGTGGACAAAAACAGTGAATGCTGTGTGATCATCATGTAAAGCACTTCAAGTTTGGTTAATCTCTTTTTAAAAGAGTTTTCTTTCTGGTATAATACATTTATAGCTGCATTCAGAGTTTTCAGGAAAGTTTGGTTTTTATAACGATACCTGCATGGCAATTAAAAGACATTAAGTCAAACATCAGGCTGTTCTGCTACCAAGCTTGTGCAAAAAAAAGAGAGATATAACCAGAAGTTCTTCTGCATGCTGACATTATTTTGAGGTTTGTAGAAACAATGAATGTGCTTCCGAATTGCCTCCCCAACCTGGAGCCCTCTAGAAAGGATAGATTGTATCTGTCTGCCCATGTTACACAATGAATAATTAGAGCTATTATTCAACTCATCCAGTAACTATTTTTTCATGAACTTGGCTTTTTAGTTGAATGCTGGACTTCCTATTGGGTTGGACCAGAAAAAAAATCAAACTATTTAAATTATCTTTACATTTAATTAAAATTAAATATACTTAATTCAATAGGAAGTTGTCATTTAGTATAACCACAATTGAGAGCCACAATTCTGTTGTTGAATGAAATAGTCACTAAGTAAAATCGCAATTGTGCTTAAACCATTGTTCTTTGTTTATAGACTTCAGAGAGTCATAAATGCGAGGACTGGTCAAAAAGTTACTTCTTCATTGCTGTTGTAACTGGGAACAGTTGCTAAACAAGGGTAGCCGTTCAATCATTTCATATTTATCCTTGTTTGCCACATTAACAATTACAATTTAATAGCAATTTTTGCAGATCTATAAGAGGCCAAAGGGTTACTGGGGCTCTGGGTATTCAGGGTTTCTGAGGCTTTGGCTGTTCAGATTATGTGTTTCAGCTTTAAAGAACAATCACGTGGTATATTAGATATTATTTCTTAAATTAAAAGAAATTCCATAATCAGGAAGCAATTTTGCATTCAGGCAGTTGTTATATTTCATAGATATTGACATCAATACATCTGTATGGCGACTTCCATCAATAATTCCTCTCATATTTACATTACTATAGAAGTGACAAATTTTAGTGGAACCTGCACTTTATTCAGGTTGATTAAAATAGTACAATCTAGTTCTTCATCCAATGGCTGAAGTATCAGCAAACAGTAGAATTCTCTGCATGTATACAATCTGTATAGAAATTATTCTAAATATACAGAGAGGGAGAGATAATTCAGTAAAATAGCTTACATAATTAATCAAAAACACTTCATTTGTGTAGAAGTAGAGAGTACTAGAAGTAGGGAGAACTGAAAAATCTTCTTGAATGAGAAGCAAATAAAAAGCAGAAAGTCCAGTTGCCTCTTGAAAAACCACCTTTGGGACAACCATGACCTGGATGACTGAGAATCTCCAAAGACATATTAAAGCAGTGTGCTCTCTGAATTTTTCCAGGTTAGCTATTTGAAATAATGCATCATTGCTATAAACATAATTATGCTTACTTCAGCCCCAGCTTCACAAAACTATTCCAGTCGTCTGGAATCACTTCAGTTACTGAATTCTGGATAGACAAGAAATAGTAATATATCACGCACTGCAATATAATAAAGCTTTCAGAACTGATTGGCCTAAACTAGGAAGAGAGATCATTCAAAAGGAGGTCTCCGCACTCTGTGGAAAGAGTAATCCCATCCTTTCTTATGAATTCAACCTAGCAAACTGACAAATATTAAAATTTTTGGCATAACACTTTTTTTAAAAAGGTGTGGATTGGCTCCTATGATGTTTCTTCTATCATTTACACTAAAGTGAATTAAATCTTCTTCCATGATTAACAATTTTCATCACTTTTAAAGGGAAAGTACTATGATAGAGAATTTTAATGCTATATGAAGGAGTTTGCACATGATAACTATTAATAGTAAATAACTTGTATTTCTACCATTTTCAATCTCATGGTTTCATAATTAAAAACACTATCAAATCAAACTTTCGAGTAGTTGCTTCTTAACAGAAATTTATGAAAAGTTAGGAGTTTAGTGAGTACTGAAAGTATATTACTTGTCTCTTTTTAATAGAATGCACAGCTATAGAGGAAATTGGTAACATTTGAAACCTCATAACCATGCTTTCCAAAATTCTAGCAAAATTGAAAAACTAGCATTTGCAATTATTTGCCTACCTATGGATCCATCTATGGATATACACTTCATAATGAAAAAGAAACCTTCAAATGTACTGCTACATTCAGTATCTTTTGTGTCTGATACTCCATCATTTCTTAATAAATTAATGTACAAATTAATGGAAAATCCCAGTCCTCACCAATAAGTTTTCTAGCTTCAATAGCATAGTATTCTCCACTTCGGAATGCATTTCTTGCTCTTGGTTACTACTGAAGGACAGGATCAACCACTTCATACAAGCAACTAGTAGATGTTTCCTCCATGAATGCACTTTTTCTGCACAGGTCTCCAGAGCTCTGGATATAGCATCAGCAATTATCCACCTGCAGAGATTTGAAAAGAGTATCAGAGCAGAGGCAATATCTTTATTTCAATTCTCCACATGCCCCCAACCTTCCCCCCTTATATAAACTCAACATAACTACAGGTAATCCTCAACTTACAATCACAATTGACCCCCAAATTTCTATTGCTAAGTGAATAGAAAGCAGCAAACATGGATTGGGCCATATGAGGGAAAAGTGGGCGTAGTTTCTTTAACTATTACATATCTACATTAAACTTTATGTTTTTCATCCACACTTCAAAATACACTACAAAAAGAGGATTCTGAAGTTCTACTTGTTTTAAAATTAAAATAAATACTAAATGGTTCACATGTATAATTCTTTCACAGCTAGAAATTATGTAAGCTTACTGTTCATGATTTCCAAGTCTCTCAAGAGTTAAAGTCAATTTTTCTGTTAGTTCAGTAAAGGCCTTGGTATCGGATAGTGGCAATAATTTGGAAAGAACAAGACATTCCACAGCAGACGGCACTTTCAAAATCTTATTCAGCAATTCTGGCCATAGAGCTTCTCTCAAGACAGACTTAACAGCTGAAAATAAGGTACAAAGGAACAAATAAACATTTCCAAAATTTAGGGGATTATATATGCATCAGGGCCCACAGTAACAAACTTAAATCTTAAGAACAGCTTTTTAAATAAAGAGAGAAGTGTTTCTGGAGAAATGTTTATCTGCTTGGAAAGAGATAAGGTTCCTACTTGGAAAGAAGGTTCAAACAAGAAAAAGCTAACAGAATAAGGTCTAGATAAATGCTTCTTGCATCATTTATCCTAGGCAATATTATAGAAGCACGCATCAGCCCAGCAGATGGTTTCAAAGAAATGCAGAACAAAATATTCAAAAAATAAAGGAATCAGAAATAAGACAACCTTTCAATGTCCTACTTTTTAAAACAATGTTAGGCTTAAAAAACTAACCTATTATTCCCGAAGCACTCATAACATGTTTAGAATAGTGTTAAAAATCAGCTGGCATGATTACCTTTTGATAAGCATTTGAAATGTTGCTTCTCTTGACAGTCCAAATACACATTAACAAGGGGCATAAAAAGGGCTGCATTCATTTTTAGAAATTTGCTTGTACTACTCTTCAGACACCAAAGCTCAAAATGAAGCAAATGAGTGTGAGAGTACTGAATCAACAAAGCTACAATAGAAAGGGAAATTTCTGTGGAACGCTTAAGGCACAAAAGCTGCACTTTAATGTCAACTGCCAGGGCAAAGATAGGTTCTTTCTGTATCACACACATAAAGATGTTTTCCAACTGTCCGGTGATACATGCAGACAACAGGATACTCATTCCTTGAATGTGCTCTCTTGAAAAAAAGGAGTCTCCTTTCAGAGAACCTCTTTGGTAACCATCTGTGAGCAGCTGCATCAAAGTTTGTCCATGAATGTTCAGACATATTTTTTTCCCAGCTAAAGTTTCAGATTTTGAAGGGGCGAGGTTGGCCTTGCAAAGTTGTAGCATGATCTCTCTCAGTTGGTCCGTATTCATATAAATGTGCAGCTCTTGTAAAGCTTCTATCTGCAGAGATTTTTTGGGAGATATTCTGCATCCTTCTTTTGCACCAGTGTGCAGCTCTTCCAAAACAGTCTTTGTGATGGCCTCAAAATATCTGCAGAGTATATCTAGCTGATTCCTAAGTTGTAGCAATGGGCAGCTCATTTTCAACAAGTCAAGAATGTTGCGATTTAGATGACTTGAAAGTAGTTTTACTTTAATTGGATTAAGATTGTGTGGAGGGAGGGAATGTTGTTCTATAGCCAGGAACCAATTTTCCAGTATAGGGTGTTTGAAGACCAAAGAGAGCATCTCTTCCATGATCTAAAATAGAAATAATTGCAATAAAAACTTTGTCCAATAAACATAAGAACTTTATTGGATTAGAACAGTGTCTGATCAACATTGTTTTTCACTGTTGCTCCCTGGTAAAATTCACTTACTCAGTAAGAAAGCAACAGCCTTCTCTGGTACAATTAAGAGTGGGATCTGAAAGCTGACACCTGATAGTACATTCAGCCTGAATAATATAGATCGAATTGAAAAAAAATATTTATCAAAAGATTTTGACTGAAAAATTGAGAAAAATGTTTCCACAAAACAAGAACTACTTTTAAACAGTAAATGTTTTACAGCAAAACCAATTTTTGAGGGATGTGCTAAGTTCCTCTTCACAGGATATGCTGAAGTGGAATCTAAACAGTTGTCAACGATACCTTAATCAGGATTTCTGGACTGAGATGGGTGTTGCACACAATGGCTTACATGTTCCCTGTCATTCTATGATTATGTAAAGTTATCTCTGATACTTTGCCATATAAAAGGTAAAGGTTCCCCTCGCACATATGTGCTAGTCATTTCCGGCTCTAGGGGGCAATGCTCATCTCCGTTATAAAGCTAAAGAGCAGCGCTGTCTGAAGATGTCTCCATGATCATGTGGCTGGCATGATTAAATGCTGAAGGCACACAGAATGCTGTAACCTTCTCACTAAAGTGGTTCCTATTTTTCTATTTGCTTTTTTACATGCTTTTGAACTGCTAGGTTGGCAGAAGCTGGGAAAAATGACAGGAGCTCCATTATGCAGCACTAGGGATTTGAACCGCCAAACTGCTGACCTTTCTGATCAACCAGCTCAGCGTCTTAATCACTGAGCCACCGCATCCCCTATACTGCCATATACTGACCAACAATAAGCGGTGTATAAACAGTTTCATTCTTACTGGAACACATTTTAATCAATCTTAGATAGCACATCTTCCTCTACTAGGAACCGCATGTCCTACGAGGACCATGGCACATTTTGGAATATATAGGCTAAATACAAAGTATTAGGTCGTGAATTTCACTTTTCAGAGTGCTATCTAACAAAACTTGTGCATGAGAGATTTTTCTCTCTCACTGTAGTCAGAACATGACTCATGGCTCATTTTAAGCAAAAAAATAAATAAAATCTCATGGATTTTGTCCATGTAAATGCACAGTAAAGAGCATGCATTATTTTTCTCTCCAGAATATCCACACAGAAAAATTAGCACCTTGTCATTCTCAGAGTCTTGTATCAAAATGTCTGCTTCCATAAAAAGTTCAGGTTCAATCTGGGTATTTTTCTGTTCAGGCTGATCACCCAACTCTGTATCCCCTTTGTGCAACAAGCTCTTCAACAAATCCATGTAGACAGTAACAAGGGAAAGGCCAGAATTTTTGTCCAACTGTTGGAAAAATGATAGACAAGTGATAAGTGAAGAAAAAAATGGGGCATTGAGAAAAATATCTCAATTATATATTTTATCAAAGGGACATATTAATTACTTCATACAGGCTTCATTTATTTGTTTTGCAAGTCCGTGCAACTTGTTTTGTATCTTCATACAACATTGTAATCAATGCTTACAAGTGGACACTACTACAAGCATGTATCTTAGAAGCCTGAATCAAGAGATTATATGTATTTTTAGCTACATACAATACACCTGCTTCAGAAAGTGCATGTTTGCTGTCATCTAAAGCTGAGGCGGTCCTTAATGTAAGGATCTGTACGGAATTATTAAAGTTGCTTTCAAAAAAACAAGAAGAAAAAAAAGCTCACACTGCCGAAGTTCTCCACCGTAGTTTTTAGGTACAGAAGAACATGTTTTAAAGCCAACAAGAGCTGCTGAGGCTGGAGCTGGGAAATAGCTTCATTTAGCTTTGTTTGAATATCCTCTTCCAATAAAACATCAACACCTTTCTGATAGCTATTCATTAACAAGGTAAAAAAGGAGGAATCTGATGACCACACCTCATCCACACTCTTGTTCCTGTCTTCCTGGAACTGAGTAAGAGCAAAAGAAAACACAATTACATGTATGTAAAGGAAACTGTTTATAGTTTTACTTAAACAGAAGAAACTTGGAAAAGGAACCAACTCCTCTTGCCAGAGAACTAAACTACCTGCAATAAGTTTTTTAAATTAGGCAAAGACATCAAAATGACAAAAGCAGCATCAGGCGATGAAACACAAACTCACTTGTGTGGGTTTTTCCCCGCCATTTAGTTGTATCCAATTTTTGGAGACTGCCAGGATAAGTTCCTGCAGTTTTCTTGGCAAAGTTTTTCAGAAGTGGTTTGTCACTGCCTCCTTCCTAAGGCTGAGAGAATCTGACGGGCTCAAGGTCACCTATAGCTGGCTGTCATGGCTAAGATGGAACTACAACTCATCCAAATTCTAGCCTGATGCCTTGACTACTATACCAAATTTGCTCTCTACAACTTGTGTACATGCATGCAGTGTCACAAAACATATACCAAAGGAATGCTGATCAGTTGCTTCATCTTTTTTCTACTTCCTCCAAACAGTCCTGAAATTAAGGTCAAGCTTATGTGAAATTAAGTTTTTGTTGCTCTGTTTTGGATCAATTTTCAGACAGATTTCTTTTCAAATTAGCTTTTAAAAGAACAATGTGCTTATATCGAAATTTATAACAAAACACATTTTGTAATACCAATAAAGGAGAATATTTATAGCTCAGGGTTGAAACAAGGGTCTTTGGTGCTCCCTGAGCTTGGTTGTTTTCTTACAGACCTTTCATTACCCAACTAGGCAACATCATCAGTGTTCATTAGAGCTTATTGTTTTATAGTATACAAGTGTATTATTTTCCTAGGAACATCAATATAAAAAATAAATCAAAATAATCTAAAAGCAATTCCATGAATTTATTGAAAAAACCAGGGCTGATTTAGCCTGTTTTTCCTGCTACCAGACTTAAATGAACTCAGTTATAATAATATTTTTTAAAAACTATATCAGATATCAGTCCACTTTTCATAGTATACTTCCACCATGTCACTGACTGATTTAAAAAGATGCATCAAAAAAGAGAAAACTAAAAGGATGACCGGATTTCAAATTGTATGACTAAATTTGAGCATGTTTTGCTATGTATAATTCCCCCATGTGTTATAATGTTAACTAACATCGAATTATGCTATTTAGTGTACATTTTGACTTGCTTACCAAAGCTTCCTTAGCTTGTTGTGGTATCCAACGACTATAATAACAGTTGAACTGACAAAGATGAGCACTGACAGACTGAAGTTCTTTATCATAATGTTGAAACATCAGGCAAAGGGCTAAAGGATCTCGTTGAGAATGCAGGAGGTCAGTGAACACAGCAATAAGGTATTCCACAATGCTTTCTTCTACAAAGAGAAACAGCAACTATAACAAAACTAAGATTAATGCTTGTGGTTTCTAAAACTGAAGTCTTCAAAGCCTCATTCAGAGAGCACCATCAGCAAACTTCAATCAGGAAGATTAAAAATTGAATGATTATCTATAGAGAAAAGCATAATGTTTACTTTTCACAATAAAAATCAAAAGCTTGATTTTGATTGTGCAAATTAAACATTAGGGTTTTTTTTGCTACTTATGTGTAGTTCCCCTTTTACGTGTGCTTTTACAAGAATTTTTAATATGTTAAACAGCATTTTAAGTTGATTATCACTATTTTCATGGAAAAGCAGGACAGAAATTACAGAAACAAGCAAAAATAACCTCTTGCGTTTTCATCAACAAGTAACTTATTTCTTGCTTCTAAAGAAGATGGGACGATTGCACTAAATGGAAAAGTGTTCACAATCATGTCTTCACTTAAAGTGCATCCAATTTCTTCATTTAAACCTTCACTGTCTTCCACAAGGACATCAATCATATCCAGAACATCTAATTTAGAAAGAAAACATTTACATAAAAATATATTTCTTGATATCAGCAGCAAAGGAGGCAACTGTTAATTTTATAGAAAGAAAATAACATGTAGTATTAGCACACGCCATATAAATATGCAATCTACCTTACAAATTTTTAATTATACTTTTTAATGTTTTAAAATAATATGGCAAGCAGTAACTTTTTAAACTATTAACATTTCTCATTTTATTTAACAATTACATATTTTATAGTAACATACAATATTATTTATTAAGAAAATTAAGAATATATACTTTAAAATTTCTATTGTAAAACAATTACAGCAATTGAGACTGACTGGAACTGAAACCTCATAGAAACTCACATTTGAAATCAAGTTTATTGAGACCCATCTCATCCACTAATTTAAATGAAAATCTATTCTAATTTATCCTACTTTGTTTTGGCCAAATATAATGCATGTTAGTTCCCACTGATGTAAAAACAATACAATAGGAAAAAGAGCATTTCTTCATCTAGTGTGACGTGGTTATGGTTGCTTACCAAAGTTTGGAAGAAGCCTTGTAAAAATAAATGCCAAAAGCAAGCTAATGCACAAATATTTTTTTAATCCAGAAAATCCTACAAATCTGTATCAGTAATTGCTCAGAAGCACAAAACTGAAACTAACAGTCTTTAGTTCCTAGTAGATATGCAATATATTAGTTAATGGCTTTAACTTTATACGAGATTTTATAATTGATAGCCTTCTTTAAAAAAATGTTGCTTTTTTGTAAATTTCCAAGAATATTAGTGCTAGATTAGGAGAATGATTTTGGAAGAATTGGGTATACCATCAATATGAGAAATGGGTATGCTGATATTATCAACATCTTGTTTAAATAAGTTGACCTGAAGAATGCTTGCTTCTTGAACAAAGTCAGCTGCTTTATCCGTATATGGATAAGGGTTGGTTACCACTTTGACCAAGACCTGAAAAAGGGAAAAAGTATTTATTAAAAGATGAATAGAAAATAAGACATTTGAAATCAAGGTATTATAGAGAATAAATTCCTTAATCCTCCAAAGAAGAGATAGGATGTTTTTTTCCATAACAAAAAATTAAATCCATTTTTAAAAGATATTGAAGTAGTGCATGTTGGTTTTAAAACCAATTGATGTCATATACATGTAGCTCAGCTGAATAAAAATACAAGGAAAGCAGTTAGGCTTCAGAAATTCATATCTGTATCAACTTTATTCTTCAAGTAGATTCTGCAAGACATATTGCAGAATATTTTTTTTCAGAACTTTATATCAACCAAAATAATTGAATGATTATACAGCCTTATATATTTTTATTATCAGAACACAATTTAATCAAGAAAAGTAACACTGATCAACCAAATTGCATTGTGGCACTTTAAATACCTATATATCACTTTTTTGAAGGTTTGATTTTTTTCCCCACTGCAATTTCTAAACTATAATTACATAAAAGTTCATACATTATACTAACCATAAGGAAGTAGCTAGGTTATGCTTTACTGAACTAAGACAATTTAAATCAAAACAAATTAAATATTTTTAATAAGCTATGGTAGAAAATTAAGCAGGATTAAGTGGAATGTGTGAACTGAGCTTTAATTGCATTACATATGCAAACTCATTTCATGTTCTGGTAATCCCAAGTATTAATTAAATGTATAATATATAAATAAAAACTAAGTATATATTATTATTATTGCTGTTATTATTTTCTACTCTTCCTTCTAAATGGATTGTTCTTGAATATTTTGGGCTATCTTTGAAGGCAGCAATTTATTTTAGTCATCTTTAATTAATTAGTTCTACAAGAAAAATTAGCAGATTATTTATTATTCTTTAGTAAGACAAAAGATTTATAAGATTTGAAGAGAAGTCAAAGTACTATTATTCTTAACCAGTGAGCTGTTTGAGAAGTAATCCTTCAGGGCCGTATTATGTCTTTCCTGCATGTCAAATGAAATTACTGCTTTCACAAGAGGAAGGAAGCAATATGTATATAAAAATGTCACTGGGAGAATTAAGGCAAAGTTTACATAATGTGCCATTCTTTTCAATGTCCTTTGCTAAGTTTGCCACATAAACAATATCATATGGATAGGAAAAGAGAGCCCATGCTTTTGTCAATAAGATGTAAATCTCTTTAATAAAAGGCTTTGTTTATCTCACTTTCTTTGTTCCATCTTCCCTGACTACAAAATGTCAGGTTCCTATAATTCATTCATAACTTTTGTAAGATTTTGCTATTAGCAAAATGTTACTCTTGGCATTGTTGAGCTGATTAATTAGCATATTGTTTACCCTTTCCAAAAACTGAATCACGATTTCCTTTTTGGCTTCAACTGTATTATCCAAATGATTGAGCCACAATTCAAGTTCCTTCCCAGTGTACTCAAATACTCCACTGTCGTGCAAAACCTATTAAGAAAACAAGTACCAGTATTATACATACATTTTAGCTGCTATTTCTGTACAGCAACTTTTTACTCTGATTGCTAACAAAAGCTGATGGCAGATTAGTCATTTACCATGACCTTTTCCATAAAAGTCTGCTACGCTTTGTTAAAAACAGGTTGTACTATAATACAGATTCTGTTAAAAAATTGTGAAACCCTTCTACTTCTCCTCTCTCATCATTTTACATTACTCGTATCATTTCAGGAAATTAGTTTTTGCTTGTACCAGCGATTAATGCAAACTGCAACTGAAATCTCTAAAATAGATGCAAAAGCAATGTTAATTACCAACAATCTGTCTAAACATATATAGCTTTCACGTTATGTGCAAACAGGTTCTGCACAAGCATTTCTTCAACCCAGTTTATCAAGAGTTGTGCTTACATCCAGACTGTTACTTGTTTATAGCAAAGAAGTTGTTGAATGTTTATCAGGACTTAGTGCCTATCTTTAGCATCTAGTTATCAGATGACAGAGTGGGAAATAATTACTATCTCTCCTCCACATCCAGAGGCTGCTTAAAAGAAAACCTCAAATTCCCAAAGGTTCACCACAAATGCATTTTCCAGTTGCAGTTCAGTCTTAAAAGATCATTCTGTATATTACTCCATGCGCTGATCCAACAGCTGTGCAAATGTTAAATGCAGACTTGCTAATGAATCTCACTGCTATCAGGCAATTGTAACAACCCTTGGCAAGCTAAAGAAGGCATTCACAGCTTGCCAGTTTCAGATTATGCAAACAATGGCTCCTGAAGGATGGCATGCCAGCATTGTATAGTAACAGCAGGGTGGAAGCTTCCCACATTATTTAATTTTTTTTACTCACTGAAAGAAGCCCAGATAAAGAAATAAACTTGTTCCTATAATGGATAAAACAGTTGATGGGACAGCCTATTAAATAATGGAGGATTGCTCACTAAAATGTAAATACAAGGGTTGCATGTGCTGATAGGTGCTAAAGAGAGGTATAGTTTATAAAAGCAAATATTTCATGTTATATGGATATGATGAACGAAGAATGAAGAAACTTGAAGACATCCTTGTTGAAGTTATTCAGAAAAAAATTACTTGCTTAGATGCATAAATAATTGGTTTCACATGTCAGACTAAGTTATCATCTAATTTATCTGTTTTTTGTAACATGCAAACCTAACTACTAATGATAAGTTTTAGTATAAGGTGTAAATTTAGCCATTGCTGATCATTCAGCAAAAAAAAATTAAAATAAGCTATAGATTTGCCTGATATATGAACCAAGCCAGTAACTATGTCCTATTCCAATGGTTATGGACACTGGTTGGGAACAATAAAAGTAACCAACTAATTCTTTGCCAAAAAATAGTTGAATTAAAAGTCTTAATTGAAAAAGTCAAGGCAAAGCCTTTTCTTTTAAACAGTCCCAACAATATGTCACTTTTGTTATACTGAGGCTGCAAACATTTATCAATTTAATTAGTAAGTTAACAGTCCAAAATATCCTGGTAAGTTCCATGGAGTTCACTGGAATTTAGTAAGGGCCACAATATTGCAGCTGAATTTTAAAAAGTTGTCATGTTTGTGATATCTACAATATTTGTCATACTTTTAACTGCCCATCTCCCTCAGATGGTTTTCAGCTCTACTCCTTCCTTTTTTTAAGGCTGCAACTCTAAACATATATTAAAAAGGGGCTGCCATTTAATTAAGTGAAGTTTACTTCTGAATAAATATGCAACAGACATTAAAATATTAGCCATAGCCTTCATATTCAAAACAAATAGTAACTTATATTAAGAACTTACCTCATTTCTGTCAATATAATCAAGAAGCCCTATACTGAAGGTGATTTTTCAGGAGGCAACTGGATTTTCTTGTTTTTCTTTTGAAGACGTTTTGCTTTGCTTCGCTTCACTTCAACAAGGAAGTCCAGTTGCCTCCTGGACCTTTGTGACAACCATGACCTGGATGACTGAGAAGCTCCAGGGACATTTAGCTATGCACTTTGAGATGAACACCCTTCGGATGATGTAGGAGTATGAATGGATTTCCAGAAAAAATGCAGACTACAAGAAGCAGTTGCGCTTCAGTTTGAGATGCAGACAACACAGACTCATCCCCAATAACCTGCACCTGTCTTCAACAGTAAAGGGACACACAGAAGAAAACACCCTGCATCCAAGAAGGCTCCACACACATCTGCACTACTCAGGTGACCTTGAGAACACAGATAAACCTCCAAGTGGCCTCAATGACTCTCTAAAAAAATGCAAATGACCAGCTGTCTGCAAGGAATATAAATGCTTCTATTCCCTACCATCCAGTCAGAGTTGAAAAAGCTTCTTGGATGAGAAGTGAAATGTCTTTTTTAAAAAAACCCAAAAAAGTCCAGTTGCCGCCTGAAAAAGTGCCTTTGGTACAACTATAACTAGATGACTGAGAATCTCCATAGACATCTAAAAGCATCTAGCAAACCATGGCTTAATGTGACTAAACTAAGAGGATGATCCTGAAATAGGAGACCACCAATAAAATTCATTCCTATGGGTATGAGTTGGAAACAGAAAAAAAAAAATCCTGGAAAAAAGATAGCAGCAAACCATTTGTATATTATTGTCAGAGCAACTATATCAGTAGTCCTCAACATAGGATGTTTGACAAATTGCATCCAATTTTATGACTTTTTTTGTCATGATTAAGCAAACCAGGCAGTTATTCAATGAGTCATGTCTTCTCTGACAAGCAAAGTCAACGTGGGGGAGGAAACTGGATTTGTTTAATGACCATATGATTCACTTAATGACCACAAGTACTACCTGCACATACTTTATCTTTTATATAAAAGCTATTTTAATATTGAACACTGCCTGGAGACATATTATGCCAAGCAGAACGTAATATTTTAACCTCATAAACGAGTCTGGTACAGTGGCTAAAGAGACCAGACTAGAAATTAGGAGACCATGAATTCTAATCCCACCTTAGAAGAAAACCAGCTAGTGACCTTGGACTTGGGCTAGTCACACTCTCTAAGAAGAAGGCAGTGGCAAACCACTTCCGAAAAGGTTGCCAAAAAATATTGCCTGTATGGAATTGTATAGTTGTTGTCCAAGACTGATTCAAAAGCACAAAAGAAAAACCCCAGATAATTTTTAAAACTGTTAATGTATCCTCATCTGGGAACAGTACATTCAAACAGAAAGTGGTATGTTCTTCAAAAAATAAAAAAGGGGGTTGCTTATATTGCTAATTTCTAAACCCAACCTTCTAAGGCAACATTTCCCAATGCAGGACTTTACAACTACTTCTATAGATGATGCCAGTTATGTATAAGGAATGGTACATGGAATGGAACCTAATCAGGAAAGGCTTATTAGTTTCTATGGCATGATCTCTGCTTTCACTAGGCAAATAATAACTCACCTTAAAAATCAATTTCTTGGTTGCTATTTTGAGCTGTGAATGGGGGCTGGTGACAAACATTTTCATCAGTAGGTAAAATACAGATTTTTCACCACAAACCTTCTCAGCTGCATCCTAAAAGAACACATTTGCATCGGTTATAGTTGAATTATTCCAGTTCTCATCACAGTAAGTAATATTTTACATTAAATACATTAAATAAGTGTATAGCGGGACCAGATAAATACAGGCAGTCCTTGACTTATGACCACAATTGAACCCAAAATTTCTGTTGCTAAGTGAAACATTTGTTAAGCAAATTTTGCCCCATTTTATGACCTTTCTTGCTACAGTTGTTAAATGGATCACTGCAGTTATTAAGTTAGTATCATGATTGTTAATGAATCTGGCTTCCCCATTGACTTCGCTTGTAAGAATGTCACAAAAGATTATCACATGACCTTGGGATACAGCAAAGGTCATAAATAGGAGTTAGCTGCCAAGCATCTGGATTTTGATCATGTGATCATGGGGATGCAGCAATGGTTGTAAATGAGAAAAATTATCATAAGTCACTTTTTTGGTGCCGTTGTAGCATTGAACAGTCAATAAATACACAGTTGTAAGTCGAGGACTATCTGTAATGGAGCATAGCATGAATCAATATTTCATATTCCATATTTTGAATTGGAGAAGCAACAAACAATGTGCTTTTTCAAAAGCAAAATACAATATGTACAAATGTATCTTTGTAAAACCAATCAAAACAGTAAAGAAGCCTGCAAGTCTTGGCAACCTTTGACTATATGCCATGAAGCTAGTGTCAATTTTTAGAATAGAATAGAATAGAATAGAATAGAATAGAATAGAATACTTTATTGGCCAAGTGTGACTGGACACACAAGGAATCTGTCTTGGTGTAAATACTCTCAGTATACATAAAGAAAAGGTATATTCGTTAAGAATCAAGAATCATAATGTACAACATTTAATGATAGTCATAGGGTACAATCAACAATCAAATCACACAAGGAAACAGTCAAGTGGGAAGGGATGGGTGATAAGGAGTGGTGAGAAGATTAACAGTAATAGTAGTGTACACTTTGTAAATAGTTGAACAGTGTTGAGGGAATTATTTGTTTAGCAGAGTGATGGCTTTTGGTAAAAAACTGTTCTTGTGTCTAGTTGTTCTGGTGTGCACTGCTCTATAGTGTCGTTTTGAGGGAAGGAGTTGAAACAGTTTACGTCCAGGATGTGAGAGGTCTGTAAATATTTTCACAGCCCTCTTTTTGACTCGTGCAAGTATACAGGTCCTCAATTGAAGGCAGGTGAGTAGTAATTGTTTTTCTTCAGCCCTAATTATCCTCGGAAGTCTGTGTCTGTCCTGTTGGGTTGCAGACCCAAACCAGACAGTTATAGAGGTGCAGATGATAGACTCAATAATTCCTCTGTAGAACTGTATCAGCAGCTCCTTGGGCAGTTTGAGCTTTCTGAGTTGGAGCAGAATGAACATTCTTTGTTGTGCTTTTTTGATGATGTTTTTGAATTTAGGTGTCCATTTTAGGTCATGTGATACAGTAGAACCTAGAAATTTGAAGATCTCTACTGCTGATACTGTGTTGTCTAATATTGTAACAGGTGGTAGTACAGGAGGGTTTCTTCTAAAGTCTACCACTATTTCTACGGTTTTGAGTGTGTTCAGTTCCAGATTGTTCCGGTTACACCACGAGGCAAGTTGTATAACCTCCTGTCTGTATGCAGATTCATCGTTGTCTCGAATGAGACCAATCACTGTTGTGTCATCAGCAAATTTCAGTATTTTAACAGATGGATTGTTTGAGATGCAGTCATTGGTATATAGGGAGAAGAGGAGATAGCACACAGCCTTGGGGGGGGCCCTGTGCTGATTGTACAGGTATCGGATGTGATTCCGCCTAGCTTCACCTGCTGCTTCCTGTCTGTTAGGAAGCTTATGATCCACTTACAAGTGTATTCAGGTACCGCTAGTTGGTTTAATTTACTTAGAAGAGTGTCTGGAATGATGGTATTGAATGCTGAACTGAAGTCTACAAAGAGGACCCTTGCGTAGGTATTTGGAGATTCAAGGTGTTGTAAGATGTAATGCAGAGCCATGTTAGCAGCAGCATCTGTTGATCTATTTGCTCGGTATGCAAACTGCATAGGATCTAACAGCAGATCCGTGATGGTTTTCAGGTGGGACAGCCCATTCCTTTCAAAGATTTTCATAACTACAGATGTTAGAGCAGCTGGTCTGTAGTCATTCAGTTCCTTGATGGAGGGCTTCTTTCAAGGAATTGAATGACTACAGACCAGTTGCTCTAACATCTGTAGTTATGAAAATATTTGAAAGGACCATATAGACATATTTCCTATAAGCTGATCAGTTTTCCAACATGGTACACTGCCCAGAGTCACTCCCTGTGAGATGGAAAGTCATATAAATGTATTCTATATAATAAATAAAATATAATAATGTCCCAACAATGTACACAGTACTGCTGTAATTAAGTCCACCTACAATGCTGCTGGTCTCCCTCTTCTTTTTCCTTCCCTATTTTAAACATTATAGAATTTATAAGAGAGTAAGGTCTTCGCATAATGTGTCCGAACTAGGATAATTTGAGTCTGAGCATTTCTGCCTTAAGTAAAATTGTAAACTGAATATTACTTGTACCTGTTAATTTAGCTTTTTTCATTATTAAACTTAATTTAAATTTTTTCACTGTCTTCTTGACTTTCATTACTAAAGACTGCAGGTCATTTGCATGTTGTTATTAGAATAGTGTTACCTATACCAATAGTGTATAGAGAAGGCTACTAACATTTCTCCCTTCTTTGGTATTGGCACATGGACTGAATTTTTAATCAATTACTATCTGTTCATGGACACCCTTTAGTATACCAATTCAAGGTTGGAATAACCTTCTGAGTTCAGAGATCTTTCAGTAGCCCTTCTTTCTTTTTCCTTACCTGTTTTCATTTTCACTGTCTTTACATGTGGTTGTAATATTGCTCCTTGTCTCTTGTAACCCTTGTCTCTGAAATTCTTTCTTAAGTTCCTTCCTGATATCTTTGGCTTTCTTGGTGTTGGTTTTTCTCTCCAAGGCAAATTTTGCAATTTGCTCTAAATCTAATTTCATTTAATTTCTTCTTCATCTTTGTAGCAATCTCTTCATATTTATTCCTAATTTCTTTTGATGGTATTTCACATTCTGATTCCCTCTCAATAATGTTCAAGACTTTAAATCAATTTCTAACATTCTTGAAAATGGTGAGTATAGTTCAAAATTATGTAGGCTGGTCGACTTTATTCTTCCATTTAGATCAGGGGTGTCAAACTCAAGGCCCGCCTGCAGGATACTTAGATCTGGCCTGCAGGGCCACCCTGGAAACAGCAAAGGACCAGCGCACAGTGCTTCTGCAAGTGAAAATGGGCTCTCAAGCTCTGTTTTTGGCTGCCACAGCCTCCTGCAACCCTCTGCCAGTGAAAATGGAGCTTGGGAGGGCAGCCCTTCCGATCTCTGTTTTCACTGGCAGGGGGTTGCAGGATGCCTTGGCAACAAAAAACGGAGCTTGGGAGCCCATTTTTACTGCAGAGTGCTTGGGCCACTACAAGCGCCCCAACACAAGTGACATCAAGCTGGCCACACCCATCCTGGCCATGCCCCCCCAGCCCCCCCGAGGTCAAACACAACCCTGATGCGGCCCTTAATGAAATCGAGTTTGATATCCCTGGTTTAGATTGACCTGTACATGAGCAGTTTTGATCTGTCTTCTACAACACCCCTGGGCCATATCTTCACTGTTATAACTGACTTCTTCCACTTCCTTGTATCAATATAGTAAATTTTATTCCTGTTTACTGCCATATGGTGAGGTCCATATACACAGACATCATTTTGGTTGTTGAAACCAAAGAAATCATTAGATTGGCAGAAATTGGTAAGTCATTCTCCTGCTTCCTGTATTTTATTTAGGCCATACAGTCCAACTACATTCTCTCATTATTTCCAACTTTGCATTCCAATCTCCAACCGCAAGCAGCATATTTTGCTTGCATGTCCTCAGTGTTGTTGATTTCAAATTGAACTCATCAGCCTCCCCTTCCTGCATCAGTGGTTAGAGCATAAACTTGGATATCGCCACATTAAAGGCTGCCCACAAAGTTTAATTCATATTATTCACTGATAATTTCACTGTACTCAAATACTTTTTTTGCAATAATTTCCCAACAATAAATTCAACACCCTTCTGTGTTTTATATCCTTAGTAAATAGTATGTTCTTCTAACTAAAAAATGCTCACTAATCAATTTCAATTTGTTGAGACCTAAGTTGACAACGTGTAGTTCGTTCATTTCATCTTTTACTATGGTGAGTTTTCCTATGTTCATGCTTTTTATGTTCCATGTTCCCAGTTTCAAAGAGTTTATTACCCTACACAGCAATATCACAGCCCGATATAGGTACTTGCTTGCTTTAGATTTTGCCACTTCAAGGAGCAAATCTTCCTCATATGCACCTTAAACAATGCAAAAATTTCTTTTCAAAATGATGCTTATGCAGTATTACAGAGATGGCAGAGACGTAGATAGTCAGCACAGCAATAGGAACAGCTTACACCTGGTGATAAATACAGACACAGACACATATCTAAACATCATGGATATCACTCTTACCTGTATTCTGAACCAGGAAAACTTATTTGCAGGCAGTTCAAGAGCCAATTTGAGAATATGATAATGCAGAACAGGAGAAATTTCTTGTTGCAATCCTTTTTCAGTAAAAATACCTATGATTTGAAAAGTTTACAGGTGCTGATTAAAGTTAAGACAAAGATAAAAATCTAAATAAAAACTAAATAACAAACTAAATAAAAAAATCCAAGTAGCATTACACATTAAGATATTTGGATAGCAAGATGGGCAGCATATATTTAATAATAAATGAAATATTTTAGGATCACAACACTGTCTGTCTGTCTGTCTGTCTGTCTATCTATCTATCTATCTATCTATCTATCTATCTATCTATCTATCTATCTATCTATCTATCTATCTATC